TTTGAAGAGTGTAATAGTCTCCACAAATCACCACTTCAGAAAATTGGCAGGGAAACTTTTGATTTTCTATCTTATTTTAGAAGCACTCTCACAGCCTTTGTCCACAAAGCCTATAGTTTGGACCACAGGGAGTGTTTTTCCCACACGAACCACAGGGTCAGCCCCACCGTGAGCTCTGTGACACACCAGGAAAGGACACACAGCCGGGCTGGTGGGCTGCTAGGAGCGGGCACACTGCGCGAGGACAGAGCACAGCTTGGAGAGTGCTGTGGAGGGACCATCTGGGGAGGGCGAGCGATGCACTTCAGAGTTGAGTTGAGCTGATGTTCTGGTCAGAGAAAGGTCAGAGTCTGTGCAAGTGTGGGAACAGCAGGGCCATGCCAACTCCGATTCCAAACCTCAGGGCCACTCCAACTGCTAATTCCGTTTGCTTTTAATTATCGTGTACCACAGGGACGTTTCTTTCTTGTAAATAAGGATGACAAGCAAATTAAGTTCTAGCAGGTGCAAAAAAGCTTACTTTGTCCTGAATTGAAACGGCCCTGATAATTTGTCAGATTGAGCTGTGGGGCAGGAGACGTGCACGGTTTTCTTCTTCTTTCGGAAAGCGCCTGATTATGGTTTCTAAGGAAAGCAATACAGAAGCAAGCGCAGTTGTTGTATCACATTAATGTTTTGTTTTAGCGTGATGATTATGTTAGTAGTAGCTGTGTTTTTCTTTTGATGAAAGAATTTTTAAAACTTGGTATTTTAAATGCAATCTTTGCCAAAGTCTGAAGTTTCCATCCAAGAAGGGTTCATGGCTGTCTGCCATTTTGAACGGCTCCCTGGAGCACATGCGACCAGCCGCTTCACTAGGCAGTAGGACAGTGCCATTTCAGAGGGGAATGAAATGCTACCATACAGCACCAGTGTCTGTAAATCAAAATTTAGATTGGGAGAAATCAGATTGTTGCCCAGGTAACAGACAGGAGGCATTTATATGCTAATTCAAGCTTGGATTCAGCCCCCTTGCAACTTTGATTTTGTATTAATTCCCCCATTTATGCCTATGCACGTCAATCTGAAAATCCTGTAGTGGAATGGACAACCAGCTGTCCGAGGTGAGAGAGGTCCAGTCCTTCACGGAGGCAAGACACAGATTAGGGGGTCTCCAGGGAGTCTTTCCAATCTGGGTTCCTAAAGTGTAGTTTATCTCACACAAACTTGGTTTCCTCTTGAGAACTGGCAAAAGAGGCTTCATTTGTTCCAAGATTTTCCTTTGTGTTTTAGTTTAATTAACACTGATCCAAAGAGACCACAATAAATCACCTTTTGCCATGTGCGTAAACATTGAATCTCATTCTTACTCTGAGAGATATTTATAGTGAACATACCAGATTAGAAACATCTAAAAGAATCACTCGATTTGAAAGAAAAATCAGTGTTTGGATGGTCCAGAGCAGGGGTTGGCAAACTGGAGCTCTGAAGTCCAATGCAGCTTCAAAGTAAAATTAAAAATAAAAGTGTCATAGTTTCATTTATAATATTACTGTAAATGTTCCTTATTTGTAAAAATATATTTTGGGCTCTTGAATAACCTTTACTGTATATACTCGTGTATAAGCCGAATTTTTTCAGCACATTTTTAATGCAGTTTTTGTGGTAAAGTTAGGTGCTTTGGCTGATATTTGGGTTGGCTTATACTTGAGTATATACCATAAGTTGTTATGAGGAACAGGAGTGCTCTTCCATTTCAAAAGTTTGCCAATCCTTGCTCTACAGTAACCCCTTAACCCTCTCTTTTCATTACCAAAAACCAAACCCATCACCTTTGAGTTGATTCTGACTGATAGCTATCATGTAAGACAGAGTAGATCTACCTAGTGGGTTTCGAAGGCCTTAAATCTTTACAGAAGCAAATTGCTACATCTTTCTTCTAGTGGGTTTGATTAATGGACCACTGTGCCACCAGGTATCCTTTGTTTCTTACTAGGTTTTAATTATTCATCAGCTAATGAATTCTATTAAAAAAATCAAATAATCATCAAAATGCTTATACATTGTATTAAGTTAGACTCTGTAGAAAAGTAAAGGCAGTGACTGTTGTATGTCTTTGTGTTATAGAAATAGAATTTTGTAGTGAAATGACATGTAGAAGTAGGTTAGGTTCACCCTATAGTACAGCCTACAGTTGTAGAAGCAGGCAAGTCCACTCCATTTCAAGACAGGCTTCTCCTGACTCATGTAGCAGAGGAAGCTGTTACACAGAAAGCAGCGTGACAGAATGCTAAAGACGGATGAGGAGGGGGATATAGGCTGGTAGATGCATAGGTAAATGGATCCAAGGTGAGCTAAATGAATCCATCATGCACCGACTGCTTTTGGGATTGGCAGGTGTTCCAATACTATATCGAGGAGCCAGATGCATGATCCAGCTCCATTAGAAGGCCAAAGGTCAAAGAGAATTCCACACTACTAAGACCTTCTCTTATAACAAAGCCAAATCCTCAAGGAAGTGTCATTAGACTGTGACCTGATTGATAGGTTGGACTCCACCCCTGCTTTCACTCAGTAGTTCCTAGTTGACATAGACCCTAACCATCACATGTAACTATACCACATCATCCCTATATAGACTTTCACTATAAAATAGATATTAACAGAAAGAGCTAATTCCAGTCTGAATTCAATCCCTTCACCCTTTTGATTTTATATTAATTCTCCCATTTATACCAGTACTTACATCAATCTGAAACTCTGTTAGTGGATGGGCAACCAACTCATTGTTAATGGTTTGAAGTGCTTATAATATTTTAGAATTTCACTTATTTAACAATATATATTTTGAGCATTCTATGTGACAGAAATCCTGCCATGACCTAGGGAAACAAACAAGCAAAAATAATATGATAAAGTCCCTAAAGAGATTTTATTTACTTGTGAGACAGACATATGAACAATTTCAGTATTAAGATTTAAGTGCTAAAATAGAATTATGTGAATGGTACCATTGAATGGTATAGTATTTTATGGAGATAAAGGATAATTTTATAGTAGAGAATGCACTTGAACCAGAATAAACAGAGTGAAAGGAATTGGGTAAATGTAGAGGTGAAGATTTTATATGAAAGGAATGCATCATTCTGGGGTAATCAACTGGTATGTAAGATGATTCAATACAAGTCAGCTGATAGATAAAAGTTTTCACACAAAAAAGTCAGATTACTACAGCAATGGAATATTTTTAAAAACACCAACTATGTGACAGACATCATGGTAATCAATAAAGGAGATACTAAAAGTACTATGTGAATGGTATAATCAGCTTTTCATATAAGAAAGATTAACTTCAGGGAAACATACCTTAAGCTAAAGATTTAGTAATCTTAAAAAAAGTGAGATTGTCAATATTTCCTGGATTCAAAAGAGAATCACGTTTCACTTTTCTAGAAAAGTATCTTTCACTTTCCCCTTTAGTGGCTATCTTAGGCTGAGTTCTTTAGAGACGCAAAGCCATTCAAGTTTATATAAATAGCTACAGAGACATTTAAATTTAAAAATGGCTCACAAAGCCATGGGTCAGAGCCTGGAGGCTTCTCCTGATGTACACAGCTGTGATGGTGGATGAAACCAAGAATGGCAGGGGGGTGGCTGAGGAAGAGAATGAATACAAACTTGGCAGGTCAAATGGCTGGCACTAACGATTCCATGAACAGCAGGAAGTATGGCAGGATGTAGGCTTAGTTCCAAAGAACCAGAGTTCAATGAACCAAATGCAGGTTCTGGTTCCAGCCAAAAGCAAGTAAAGCTTTTCCACAGCACACATTTCTATTGGAAGCAGGCCACAACACCAAAGAAATTTCTTTCTGTTGATTCCATCGGGACTGTCATCACAATAAGGGTATGTTTCCCATCCTAATCCTACTCTCATTAAGAAGGTGATTACCTCGTGTAAGGTTACAGCATGGAGAATTATTTAATCTTAACTGCCCAACCACTGAGAATCGTGGCCCAGTCAAGTTGACACAAAACCTTAACTCTCACAGTACGGTAATTTCTTCTCATTGTTTGCAGGTTCAAATGTCCCTGCTAAGAAGAGGTATGCCCAGGACCAATACACAGGAACAAATTAGGCTAAATTTTATGCATTGAAATGATCTATCTTTCTCAATATTTGCGTGGCATCTATCATCCATTAGATGACTGGTTTCAAGATAATAGGGATGTAGCCAATCTTGCATATTCAGCACATAGCTGGTCCTCTGTCTGCATTTTTGTGTAAGTAAATGATTGGCACAAAATGTAGTATTGGAGAAAAGATGGGTAAGAATAATATTAACAAAGTAAAATTGAAAGGACTTGGATAATAAACAGAAGAAAAGTGAGAGAGCAATCTGAGTAAGGTCCATATATCCAGCTAGGGCAACTATAGGTGTCTAGTTTGAAGTAAGATTATGCTCTAAATCTGAAACCTATTACACTGATTAGATCACAAATCAAACTAAATTTAATTATCTTCATTGCAATCCTTATATCATCATAGGCTGTGTTTCATAAATTTTTACAGTGGAATATTTTTATAGAGGTTTGACATCAGCTATTTAGTTTGATTATTCTTGTTCGAGGTTCAAACGTTTTTTCTCTCGGTGATTCTCTCTATATCTGTGGTGTTCACCCAAGATTGAAGCTAGAAATTTTTGACATGTAACATGATTTCAGCTATTTTATTTATTTATTTTCCTAAGAAGAAATGTTTGAAAGTTTGAAACGGGGGCTGTCATACCTTTGCCATCAGAAAATCAGACTAATTTTTTGGTCGTAGGCTATGATTAACTCCAAAATCAAAATTACAATGCATAAAAATAGATCTATAATTATTTTGAAATTGGAAATCTCTATGTAAAGCCTCTTGGATCTGAGAAAGTAGCTGGTGAGCTTTGATATCAAAAACTGCCTTATGACCATTTTATAATTTATACCCTTAATTTACATGGAAAACATTGTCTCCTTCTTTACAGTGACACAGAAAGAAAAAGAAAAAGAAAAGCCCAAAGGAAAAGAAAAAGGAAAGGACAAGGAAAAACCTCCAAAGAAAGGTATGGAGTTAGTCATATGGTGGTTCTCACAGCTTGGTTCACACCCTCTAGTTTCTCTGTGTGAAATTCACCTTTCCCATGACCAGCGTCTTCATTTCCTAGTGCAACTGGAGCACAGGATGACCAGTGAGTACTTTAAGGAACAGAAATTTATTTTCTCAAAGTTCCAGAGGATAAAAGCATGAATTCACAGCACCGGGCTATTGTCCATGTGGGCGCAACATGGCAGTCACCCTGGCGGAGTCGTGGTTTTTCTCGTGGGCTGTTGACCACAAGGTCAGCAGCTTGAAACCACAAGCTGCTCCTAGCAAAAGCCACAAGGCTCTCTAGTTCCCCAAGTCTTGCAAACCCACAAGGGCTACCCTACCCTGTCCTATAGGGTCACTATGAGTCAGAATTGACACAATGGCAGTGAGTATTTTGTATTGAATTGATTATATGGGAAGTCCCTCTCTATCAGCTTTTGGGGACGATCACTGTCTCGGTTTGAGTAGCACTCAGAATTCCTAGATTCTTGGATATCTACATAGAGAAGCTACCTTCCTCCATTCACGCTTGCTTGGCTGTGTTTCTGTTGCTCTTAACACATCCTAGGTTTACAGGGCCTCCTTAACACAGAAATAAAACTCTAATCTCACATACGATGATACTCTCCAGTGAGGTGCTATTGTTGTTAGGTCATGGAGGTCATTCCAATTCTTGGTGGCTCTAGAGACAACAGAATGAAACATTGCCTCCGACTGGTTCCATCCTCACCACTGTTACTATGTGTGTTAGTCTGGGTACATTAGAGAAACAAGTCCACAGAAACTCATGTCTAAGAGAGAGTTTTAAATAAAGGTTAAGTGCCCATCAAGAGAACATCCCAACCCAGTGCTGCCCAAGCCCACAAGTCCAACATTAACCCATATGTCCAACACCAATCCACAAAGTCCTCCTCCATCTCACAAAACACAGACTATGATGCCGACTGCAGGAGAAAAGCTGAATCAGTGAATGTGTAAGCATCTCGGCACTGGCACGTGTCTCCACGTGGCTGCTCCAGCACCCAGGGCTGCATCAGGGTAGGTCCATGCAGCTTCTCCTGGGGATATCTTGCAGGAAGTGAGCCTTGTAAGCTGAAGCAGGGAACTGGCTAAGGCAGCTGCACCCTGGTGCGACCATCACAAAGCAAGAGACCCAAGAACTAGAAAAGCGAGCCATTTATCTCTCTGCCCTTCAATTAACCCCACATGTGTGTATCAGCTAAGTTGGCACAATAAACTTCAACTATCTCACTATGTTTGAGCCTGGTTGTTGTAGTCACCATGGTGATCCATCTCATTGAGAGTTCGTAAACTTTTTTCCTCACCCTCAACGCAGCATGATATCATTTTCCAGGGACTTGTCTCTTAGGAGAGCATGTTCAAAGTGAAGTAGGCAAATCTTGCCATCCTGCGTTCTAAGAAATATTCTGGCTATACTTCCAAGATATATTTATTTGCTTTTTAGGCAGTCCATGGTACTTTTAATATTTTTTACTAACACCAAAATTCAAATATATTTCTTCTCTACTTTTCCTTATCCATTATCCAGTTTTCATATGTATATAATGAAGTGATTGAAAATACTACAGATGGGGTCACTCAGATCTTAGTTTTGAAAGTGATGTTTTTGTTCTTAATACTGTAAAGATTTTTTTTTTAACAGATTTGCGTAATATGATGTGTCACTGGATTTCTTGATTACTGCTTCCATGGGGGTTGATTGTGAATCCAAGTCAATATTACATTAACATGACATCTAGTCCCAAATCAAATGGGATTAGATCCACGGGTCTAGGGTACAGAATTTCAACTCATGATGTGAGGAAACACAATTTAACCCATAACAACCATACATTTATTTTTAATTTAATTATGCCATGATTATTTAATGAGATTATCTTTTTATCCCTATAATCTTTGCCTTTTAATTAAGGTATTTAGACCTTTAATAGTTAACATAATTTTTATATTACTGGATTGTTATATAGCAGTTTAAAAATCTATTCTTCCACTGTTGGACAATAGGGCTGCTTCCAGCTTCTTGCTCTTGTGAATTGTGTGCTTTAATCAAGGGACAGCATACAACCACCCAAGATGTGGCTCTGATTTCTTTCAATTTCCAGTTGCTTTCAGCATCCTATTTTTTTCCATAGTGATTGTATCTATTTACAAGTCCACCAACAGCGCATATGAGTCCCATTATCTCCACATCCTCTCCAGCAGTTTTTTGTTTTTATATTTATTGTTTTAATATTGGGCTAGGACGGTGGGTGTAAGGTGGCATCTCCTGTGGTTTTAATTTGCATTGCCTGGATGGCTAGTGATCATGAACACAGTTTTCACGTGTTTCTTAGTCATCTGTACTTAATTTTTGGTGAACTGTCTGGTCATGTCTTTTTCCCACTTCACAATTGGGTCCTTGTTATGTTCTTATTGAGCTATTGGGAGTTCTGCAGACTTTGTTAACGAGACCCATGACCAATGTGTCATTGGGGGAAAATGTGTCCCAATCTCTTTCAAAGACAGGGAGGGGACAGGAATGATGGAACACTGAGCAACAACGCCACCAACAAAAGAACAGCTGGGCCTAGACCTCGTCCTGGGAGGAAGTCAGGGCTGTGTGGAGCCGCTGCTGTGTCTGTTAGGATGTTCTTTTATTACCTCATGACATTTTAGATTGTCAGGGTAGGGTTGGGATTAAAGCTAGGGGAATGATTTTGGGGTCTGGTGTGGCACCAAAACAAAACAAAAAGCAAAACCTACTGCCATTAAGTGAATTCTGACTGACCATGGCCCTGTGGAACACAACAGAACTGGTCTGAGAGGTTCCTGAATACATAACCCTTTATGGAGTTCTGGTGGCAGAGCGGCTAAATTGGGCTACAATATGAATGTTCAAACCACCACAAAGAGTTACAATCTCAGAAACTCATGGGGACGGTTCTAACCTGCCTGTGTTAGTCTGGGTAGACTAGAGAAACAAATTCATTGACACTCATGTGTATGTAAAGAAAGAGCTTTATATACAAGAGAAGTTGAATATTGAGAAAACATCCCAGCTCAGTCCAGATCAAGTCCATAAGTCTGATATTAGCCTATATGTCCAATACCAATGTAGAAAGTCCTCTTTAGAATCACAAAACAAACGCCGAATGCAGGAAGTTCACAGGCTAGTGGGTGGGACGTCTTGTGGATCCAGTGGTGTTGTAAGCAGCTCAGCACTGGCAGGGGTCTCCACGTGGGCTCCTCAAGTTCCCAGGACATGGGGTCTACCAGCATAGTGCTATCTGTCTTGTCAGCAGAGTGTCTCTCAAGGAATGAGCAGAGAGAATGTCTCCCACCGCCAAGGAGAAAATACAGGAATTCTCAGAATTCTCCAGGGAAAAGTCATGCCCACACAGAGGCCTCATTGGCTGTACAATGATTGACAGACTAGATCCCACCCCTTCACTTGTAATCATCTCAAATTGACAACACATTATATAACCACCACACTGCCTTCCTTATAGGTTCAGTAAAATTTGGCTTGATAGCAGTGAGAATTTTCTAGTTTAAATGAGAATTAAAAGCCTCATCTTTCTCTCATGGAGCAGCTGGGGGTTTCAAACTGCTGACCTTGTGGTTTGCAGCCCAACTCATAGCCCATAATACCAATAAGGCTCCTTCCTAGATATTACAGCCAAGGAAACCCAATCTCTATGTAACAGTGCTACTGACCCATGGGGTCACAATGACTTAGAATGGATTTGACAGCAATGACATTTTGCCTGTCTGTTTTTGTGTAAAATAATCTACTGTCCTACAACCCCCATGGACTTTTGTAAATTGTGCTCTGGATGGGCTAGTATAGTAACCCTACTAACAATGTCCACATGATTACTAGGATCCCAAATGGGTGAACACTAGAGCAGATGGCTTTGGGGAAGACTGGATATACTGATACCCCAGAGACTTGATGCCTTCTCTCATCAATAGCCCTCCTAAGCACATTGGCATTGAATTATTTCCCATTCATAGTAACCCCACCATACTTACCATCATATTTATGGTGCCACTTGGTGAATTTGAACTACTAACCTGTGGACCCAATATTTCTGTCACAATGATTATTAATTAGTTTTCAACTGAACCTTCACTTTAAGCTTTCTATGAGGTACATATTCTCTCACCAAGATTCTATGCAAACTATTCCCAGACTATGCTCAAAGAGAATCTTTTCTAATAAACATTGTAAGCACATCTATCTGCATTATAAAGTTAATGTCCATTATTCCTATTATTATATAGATAGAAAAAGTAAATACTCAAGGCTCAGATTTTTATCTCTAATAATTTGCCTTTTCTTAAATCAACTGTTTAAGTAATTTTCATCTTATTATTGAATCTAATTTTCTAACATATTTTTCATATCCATTGTTATTCTTCAATATGCAAGATGTATGTAAATGTTGAAAAACTATATGATGAAGCTTTGAGATTTTGTGTAAAAATATAATTGATAAAAAATGGATTTTTAAAATGTATCTCATCTTTTGATTGAAGAAACAACCAAGCACTACAATAAAATATATTTGAGATATAAATATAAGATGTACATATTACAGTTCTCAGAATTCTGTTACCTACATTGTTGGGAAATACAAAATTTTACTAGTGTCTGTAAATAAAATAGAAGTTAATAAAGTAAATTAACATTGATTTATTAGTTTATTAAAAACAATAAGATGATATAATGCTTCTGGCAGCTTGTCAATTAAGAAGGAACATTTAATCAGTAATTTGTTTTTATTACTTTGTACTCTCCTGGTGATTCTCAACTCCCTTAGGGAATATCTGAAAAGTTTTCATTGTCACGATGATGGGGGTGGCAGTCTATAATCATTTAGTAAACAGGATCCAGGCGACGTTCCTTATTCCTCCCCAATTGTCAATTGTGCCTTTGTTGAAAAACATTTGATTAGTTGAATTTCAAGTTCTGAGCTAAATACTTTCATAAATCCTAAAAGGAGTACTTCTTTCTGACATGATAATATATCGTTTAGACAAGTTCTTATAAAATCCCTCTTCCTTTGTTTGTCTTTCTGGAAATATTTATCTACTTAAGAATATTAACTGAAAAATTAGAGTGGATTTAGGTTTCTTATTATTTTTAAGGCTCACTGCCAAGCCTTGTAAATTTTATTCCATGCAGTTTTCATTACTACATTGATAGCACTATATTCTTAAATTGCACCCATTAATGTAATATATCTTCAACATAATCTATAAATAGCTATAAAATTAACTAAAGAGATATAGCTATAAAATTAACTAAAGAGAAAATTTGACCTTGAATTCTAGTGAAATTAGGTACTAATATAATTTTTTTGTTTTTAAGCAACTCACAAGGAAAAAATTGAGAAAAAAGAAAAGCCAGAAACTAAGACAACGGTGAAAGGTAATATTCCTTGCTATTTGCATCACTAAATTCTTTGTATTTAAAATTAGATTATAGGTGACAGGTAGCCAGATGATTGAAAGAATTTAATGCTTTTATTTATAAAAACTTTAATTTGCTTTACACTTAAATTTTAATATCTAAAAGAGGAGCAGAACTGAGTATTTGAAGTAGTTGTACCAGCAAAGTTAAGAGGGAAATGAAGAGCTTTGCTATGTATTGTAAAAACATGGGCTCCCGTGACCTTCACCATTTGGTATAGATAGAATTTAGCAGAAGTTCAGGATGCTCACCCACACTCCCGTACAGGGTTACAGTCCTGAAAACCCACAAAGGCATTTCTACCTGGCTCCACAGGTTGCTATAAGTCGCAATCAATTCAATGGTAGTGAATGTGTTTTCTTCAACTAGATTGAAAATAGAGATTGCCCTGAATTTTCCAGATGGCCTCAATATAATCACATGAGTTTTAGATAAAGATCGGGGTAGCATAAGCGGAAATCAGAAATAGCTGAAGCTTGAGTGGAGTTTGTACCTTGGTGTTGGCTTGATCAAAATTGCTAATTTATTAATTTTTTACCCCCTGAAGAATGCACTGTGCTAGACACCCTGAGGATACTTAAATAATATGGTTCCTCAAGTTGTTCTCAGTTTGATAGGAAGGAGGAAAGGGTGGAAAGTTTTTGTACATTCTCATCATGGTGATTCAAAGTAGAACAGAACAGAAGATAGCCCGGCCCTGCACCAACGACCATCTCTGATAAGTTGAAGTGCCTTCCAACAGAGGGGCTCATCTGCTGTCACTGTTATATTGGGCTGGGTTTTCTAGAAAAGCCAACCAGTGACACTTAAATTTGTATATTGTAAAGAGAAATTGATGTCCAAAAAATGGCTCTCACAACCGCAAAGCGGGCAACCCCGGTGCAGTTCAAGTCTGTGGGGCAGATACCTGGAACCCTTTCCCCACTCGCACAGGACGGAGGCTTTCCTTGGATCACGTGGTTGTGAGGCTGAGCATCCAGGAAGCCAGAAAATGAACCCAGGGGCAGCAGGGCCAGGTAAAAAAGTGAATGCTGAGAGGTATCCGTAGGTCAGATGCTATGGCAGACTGCTACTGGGTACCAGGATCAGCAGGCAGTACTGTGGGCAGCAAGTCCACGTAGGAAAGACCACACGCGGGGTCCAGGTCAGCAGGGCGGAAGGTACACATTTCACCATGTCTCCTGTGGACGTCAAGTAGGGCCGCACTCCAAGGAGATGCCATCAGAGACGCCGCCATGATTAGGAAGTTGTCTTGCTACACAGCAAGTTGACGCAAAACCTCACCATCATAACTTTGTAGAACAACACAGTAGCACCCCGGACCTCCACGCTCATCCATTCTAGATGCGATGCAGTCGAGTTCCCAATCAATTTTTCCCATAAGAAATAACTGAAAACGTATTTATCCATTCCCCACCACCAAGTTTTTACCCCAACCTTGCCTTTTTATACAAAACAATACACAGAAATTTCAAAGTAAATACGTTCAGGGTTAAATAATATCATTTAAATAAGAAACACACATTAAAAAAGTTTTTAGCAAAGACAGTATGTTCCATACCTTGAGCTGGATGAGGATCTGGTTCTGTGGACACGGATGCGGAGAGGCGGGATGGAGAGAGAGGCCTTGTTTGGAAGGGGAATCCCCTACCATAAAATCAACTGGTAGCTGCTTTTCAGGAGTTTTTTCCCTTCTTTGCCTTTTTCTCTAGAACCTGGCTGGCCTTCTCGAAAACAAACAAACAAAAAACCTGCCTAACGTGGTCTATTGTTGGCGTTTGTTTCCTTTACTGTTTTCTAAAAGGGTTTACTAAATTATCATGAACAACATCAATGAGACAGTTAACCAGTTCCTTATCATGATGATTCTTTTCAAAAATCTCTTTCTTAGAACCCGTGTTTTATATCTAATAACAGAAAAAAACCCACAAAAACTAAGAAAATTGTAGCAAAACACTTGGAACACAGCCGCAAAAGGTTTAAACAATGCACTAACAACGCCAACTAACGCTGAGTGACGGAAACACGAGCTCCTTTCGTTTACAAGAATCACGTGCGGCCGGTGGGATTCCGACGTTTTGTTTGAGGTCCGATGCAAAATTTTTTCGGCATCCGATTATGTCGACTATTGCTGCAGCTGAGTGTCAGGGTTCTACTGTACTTTGTTGCAATCCGTACCTTTTCAAAGGAGATCTTCAGGCTTTATTTCTTAGTCTATCTTAATCTGAATAGAGCATGGAACCCTGCACTGTGGGTCAATATGATGCTCTGAAGAACCAGTGGCATTGTTCCCAGCATCATACTTATACATAAATCACCCTAGGACAAGTTGTGCATTCAAGATATGAGACAGAATTAACTGTGTGCATTAGCAAATGTTTAAACACCGGGAATTTAGAGGAAAGAATGGTTGATTCCAATGGCAGAGAGATTTGCTACATGTGATTTGAAGATGAAGAGATTATGTATCTGGAAAATACATCAGCTATGCAATAAACACGAAGTAGTCTATTAGAGGAAGAGGTGTTGAGAAGGACATTGTGAGAGTAGAGATAGGGTTAGGTCAGCTATGTCAGGGTTTTAAATGTTAAGCTAAATTTCTCTAGTTAGGCATAGTCTCTCACTGATATTTTGTATGTCAGCAATTAACTCTGATTCCAGGTCACAATAGGTTTTATAGAAGAGTTTGTTAGATGAACATAAAGAGTCTTTGAGTCCGGTATGCTGGGCCTTTATAGTATAACTTTATTTCCAGGCATATAACCAATAATCATTTTGGACAGGGATTATGTAATGATGTTGCTTGATTTAAAAATATCTACAGAGAGCTGATGGTTTAGATCACAGAAATGGCTAAGTTTACTTTAAGGAAGGGGGTGGGGGGAATAGCAAAAGAGACTGAGAAATGATTTAGAAGACAGAGAGAAAACCCCTCTTAAGTGATTAAAGTCATTTAAGCTATTATATTGGAAGTTTATGGAGAAAATTGGTGATGTTTTTATGAGAGTTTTGTGGTCAAAAAACCTTGGTAAACAATGGGTAGAATATCACCTTTCTTGAAGATTCTCTTTCCATTATAGCTTTGAAAAAGTGAATAAAAAAGGGAAAGAATCTGAACTATCATTCTCAAATTTATTAGATCATAGAGATAGCCCCCTCTCCCAAACACATGATCAACAATATTGGAAAGTTTCTGAAAAATAGGATTTTGATTTTGTGAGCTAATCTGTGCTAGGCATATCCAATCCCATTCTTCTCTTCTTTATAATTTACAATGTCACTTTGACTTAGTCCCAAATGGTCATTTATTGTGTCACAGTAAGAGCCTTGATTATAATATTTCATCAAGTGATTCCACATGGATAACAACAACAAAAGCCTAAAACAAACAAGCAAACAAAACAAAAATTCATACTGCGCTGGCGAATGACATGGGTAATTCCGACATCACAGTAGATTTACTAATGACTCTCACTCATTGCCATCCATCCAGTCAATGGTGATTACTGGGTACACTGCAGGACAGAGCCAAACTGCCCCTTTTACTTTTCCAAGACTGTAACTCTTTACGGGAGTAGAAAGCCTCATCTTTATTCTGAAGACAGGTTGGTGGTTTTGAACTGCTGACCTTGCGGTTAACAGCCAAACACATAACCATTATGCCACCCGTGCATAAACATATTCTAATTCATAGTCCCTTTTTGTATTGAGATAAATAGGAGGCAATATCTTCGTTTCTTCTCTCTTCCCGCCAAATAACTAGAAGTTTATTATTTTATACATGTTAAAAATCACCATGCCAGTAATTTTACATGTGTATCTCCAAAAGTTATGTTAAAATATTTTGTTGCCATTCTATTTCTTGGCTAACTCTTGAGATTTTTCAGACCCTTCAAAATGAGATTGATTTGGAATCTTTGATATGGTCATGAGTTTTACTGAAGATACTTGTATATATTTCTCCTGATGATTATGATTATTGACATTTTAAGTTGCTGACAGCCTAAAATATAATGTCTTCATGTACAAATTAAGAAAGGGCCCCAGGTTTTAAGTGAGCTATGTATTTGTCAGAAGGAGACAGCACTTCATAAATGATGAGATTTAGTTATTACAAATAAATTAATTAATTTAAAAAGGGAAGTTTTGAAATGATCCTTTAAGCATTTATGTCAAGGACACTATATTTCTGTTGTTCTCGATTGTTTCTTTTCTCTGCGCATATGCTCACTGACTGAGAAAAGATGAAATATTATGCTGTTAAATAAGTAAATGGAATTAAACTTTTCTTTATCTATGTACAGAAGAGAAGAAAGCTAAAACTAAGGAAAAAACTGAAGAAAAGACGAAAAAGGAAATGAAAGGTGGGAAGCAGGAGAAAGCGAAGCAAACAAGTACCGACGTCAAAGAAGTCCAGGGAGCATCTCCTAAATCCAAAGACAAAGAGAGGGATGGCAAGGGGACCGCAGCTGCGCCACAGCACGAACAGAAAGGTAAACGCTCCGAGGAGGCTGCAGCGATGCGGTGAAATAAAAAGACCCAAACCAGACTTCACACAGCCTTAACTAACTTACTGAAATAAATATACCTGGATGGAAATATAATAAATTTGGAATTAGACTTTATTAATAGAAATACGGATATTTGTTCACATACCTGAAATGCATTTGGAAGTACTTTCAATAAAGTATTGCGTTAGCATTTCAAATTATTTCAAGGTTGAGGTAATAATAGAAGTCTTGAGATATGATATTTCAAAGAAGAAGTGCAGTAAAAATTGTGTTATACTCTTTTGGAGAACAGCAGCCCAGGAAAAATAACAAATTTCCAAGAGATTTTTAAGTTGTGTGTTCAGGTTAAATATGCTAGCAACTGTGTAGAAAAGACATAGAATGTTTAAATTATCAGTCAAAACATTACAGAAAAAAAAAACTCTTATGGCTCATTGTCAACCCTCCTGCACAAATTGAATGGGTTTGGAAATCTCAGTATCTCACATATTATGGCATTCTTTGAGGGGCGTGATGGCACAAATAGTTGTTTCTGCTTCACAAAAATATAGTTCCTCAATTGCAAACAAGTTTCATTCCTAAATCTGTCTTTAAATTAAATTTTTACTTAATTTGGAATAGTTCAAGTTTACATTCCACGTCAACAAGTCAAAGGCTTGTCTTAGCTATAGAAAAAGTTTAAAGCATCTCAGTGTCATTGAGTCAATTCTGACTCACACTGGACCTGTAGGACAGAGAAGAACTGACCACTGTGTTTTTTGAGGCTGTAATTGTTTACAGGAATAAAAAGCCTCATCTTTCTCCTGTGGAGCAGCTGGTGAGTTTGAACTGCTAACCTTGAAGGTAACAGGTTAGCATAATAACTGCACCACCAAGATAGGATATAGTGTAATTTTTTTAATAAAAAGAAAACATTTAAGAAACACTTTCAGATACAGTAAACCATCTTTTAAATATAACGATAATAATATAATATTTTGATGTATGTTCCCAAACTAGTGTTCAAGTGCTATTCCAAGCCACTGTATCCACCTCACCTCTTTAGTTTTTGGATTGACAGGGGTTTTTAGTAAGAACTGGTTGTACATAAATCAAGTATTCATAACCTGAGAACTAACTGCCTGGGTAGAATTCAAATGGAGATGATGGTAGATAAGCCGAAAATGCTTGATGGGAAGTCACTAGGTCAATAGGTGGTGGTAGGATTTCTGGAGAGCAGCCAAGGACCTTACTGTTGCGCATCTTAGCTCTGGTTGAACATTGCCTTCTCTTAAGTCCAGTGCAGTTCCAGGCTGCCACAAAATCCTGAGACTCCCATTCGGAAAGCTGGGTTCTAAACTACAGGGACTATTCCTACATTAATGTATCTTCGGGTATTACGCAATAATTTTTCCTTTGATATGATTGCAGTTTTAATCATTTCATGAAGGCTAAAATTTTTTAAATTGAATTTTATGTAATTTTAGTTAAAGAAAATTTCCAACTGTTATTGAAGATCATTTGGACAATGAAATTAAAACAAAATTTTCTCCTTTATAATGTACAAAGTATTAGCCTAAAACTGAGTCATATCTTATCTTTGAAATGCTCTTTTTATCTCAAACTTATAAGGAATAACTATATAACTTTAACTTACACTACAAAACTACATATTTTTAAAAGAAAATGGAAAAGAAAGAAAATTGTTTTTTAGTGGCCTAAAGCTTCTTAATGTAGGAAAATTTTATTTATCTCAAGATTTTTCTGATTGCATCTTTGTTTATATATGAGTAGAATTTTACTTTTGGAATCTTCAAAGCCTTTCTTCAATATTCAAGAGGATTATATTACCTTGAAGAATTAAAAACATTAATTATTGCCTCTTAAAACTTTACAATATATGAAATAGTTCAGTAGAAAGATGATGCAATAAATAAAGATAACATTTTAATGGGACATCTTACTATGGTAGAAACCAACAGAAACTTTAATTTTTTAATTCACTGATATACTTATTTAAAATAGTATTAAAAATAAAATAATTTGCATTTTGAAAAAAATCACATGAAACCAGTTGAAACAGAACAAATATATTTTTATTTTTAGGATGCAAATATAGTATATAAAAATGTATGCCAGTTATATAAAGAGATATCAAAATAATTGTCTGGAAACTAAGAACACAACCATTTTTGGATGTTCATATCCGTATTGGGGATTTTTTTTCCTTTTTGGTCATATTTTTTTCTGAAGACAAATCTTCAGAACGCTTTCAAATAATATTTATTTTCCTGGTCACATATATTGTACCGGATTCTCATCAGGGATAAAAATAAACATTCAAGATAGTACTATATTATCGTTTCAGTTTCAATCTACTGTTTTAATTTCCGCATGAAGAGCTGTTTCTGTAATAAAGAGACATTCAGTACAAATGAACGTAAAGAAAAGAGTACAGATGTGATTTTATCAGTTAAACAAATGAAATTTATCGCTATTGAGAATACCTGCTGTCAGGAGCCTTCCAGTCAGTTCGAATGCATAGTAAACCCATAAAGATAGAATATAATTACCCCATATGTTCTTCTGGTCTATTTTTGTTTTGGACTCTATGGGAAAGGTCAGCAGTTCAAAACCCACCTACTGCTCCTTGAAAGAAAGATGAGGCTTTCTACTCTTATAAAGATTTACAGTCTCACAACCCCACAGGGCAATTGTACTCTATCCTGCAGGGTTGCTGTGAGTCAGAATGGACTGGATAGCAGTGAGTTTGTTTTTTCTTTGTTTGTTTATTTGTTTTCTTCTTTAAGAAATCAGGTAACCATTCCTCGTGGATGTTGAATGTGTTACAACTGCCAACCTTTTAGTTGGCAGCAACCCATTAACTGATGGGCCACCATGTTTCCTGTATTGAGGATGTTGGTGGTGGTGCTGCTATTGGGGGCCTTTGAGTCAATCTGACTCATCGCAGCCATCCAGGGCCAGGAGAGGTGCGCCTTGCTCTATCTGCCTGAGGCCACACCCACTCCTTCTCCCGCCCAGCCTCCCGGGTTTGAGCTGCTGCGTTTTCTGTTACAGCAGCGGATGACTTAATGATTGCTCCACCAGGCATCCTTTATAGAGAATAGCTTCTATGAATGAAATAAACCTATCATTAAGTAATATTGAAAAGTTAATCTCTGGTCCAATAAGTGAATGTGTCTGTTTTCTAAAGTAGTTGAATTTTAATAGTGCTATTTTTTATTAATAACGAAGTCATATTAAGATTTTAATCAGGCAAAAATAAAAGGAATAGTGGTTTTTAAGTGATTGCTTTTTAAAGTAGCACACACACACACAGGTCTATTGCAGATAACTATGCTCACTTTGAAGCAGATTTTTCTGTGGTGGACATACACTTACTGGCAATTTTTCAACTACATGTAATTCATGCAAATGCATGCATATGTAGGTACTCTTATTATACATATCAATGGTATATTCTGCTGAACTTATTAAAAATAAAATTCATATGCATGTATGTGCCTACCATAAACTTATACACATACATCCTTAATATAATCTAGGTTTGGTGGACCAACGTAAATATGCTTTGTAGCAGAAGCTATAAAGAGGTGTCAACATCAAGCAATACTCCTTCATTTTCTGGTAATCTGTGGCACATCCGTGGGAGGTAAAAACATTTCCAAGCTACCACACACTTTGTGCGTCCTTTCTTTTTCTTTATTGTTAAAATTTAATATTTTTTAGAACTACTTCAATAGTGACAGTCAAAATACTACAGCTAATTTGACTCTGACATGGAGCACCTGAACATATATGTTTCTGTCTCATTTATTTTTTGTGCCACCCCCCCAATTTTTTGTTTCCCCATTCTGTGCTTAGAATGCATTTTTTTTCCACTGCTACCTCACAGGGAACACTGGCAAGGTGGTAGCTGAATGATATCCATCACTGCTATCAGAGGAACAAGAAAGGAAGCCATACATAGACAGTATTTGCAATTCCAAGAAGACTTCATTTGTGGAAAAAATAATACTAAGAAGTGATGACCTAATAGGAAATTACTTTATGTAAATGACTATCATATAATGTATTTGTATATATGAGTTACTATTATATATATCTATATAAATTACTACAATTATTTCTATACTATGTATAGATATTATCTATATATACATATATACTCAAAGAAAGATTCCTTAACTGAGATTTAGGTTGAATGTATTTTGGTAGAATTTAAAATTTAACGAAAATTTAGGTTCAGTGAAATATTTTTAATTCAGAGGAGAAAGCTAAAAACAAATTCCTGGAATCACTTCTGACTAATCACTCCCAAATGCTCATACCCTAACCGATTGTTTACATCTTTGCCCTTCGACAATAGACCAGCCAAGAGCGATGATCTTAGGGAGATGACGTCAGCACTTAATTCAGCGTGTTAGCAGTTGGTGGAGTCTGTCCTCCTGAGCGGTCTATTACAATTGAAGAGCATTTCTTGGCAGAGGTGACCTGGTAGTCTGCAGTGGCGTTGGCCCTCCTCTTGCCCTTTCCAGAAAATATCCCCTGTCCCACTCAGACCTGTAGCAGAAAGACATAGATTTAAGATTTGGTAAGATATTCCAAGTTGGAAATACTTTCCTCATATAGAGCTTTAATTTCATTATCACACATTTAAGAAAGGTAAAAAATAATTGCTCTAATGTGATGCATTCTACAACACATGTGAAAAAGTTTTAGATTCTTAAAAAACAATCATTTAATATTACACTGGATTGGTCTGTTCCAATTCTCAATATTCTTCTTGATGATGGAATTCTAACTGTAGCTTTATATTATGTCATTTCCCCTGTAGATTCATTTAAGTGCAAATTATTCCTTCACAGAAAGTATTGTAGGAACCAAAATAGAATTGTGCTATTTTGCTTATTTGTTTTGTTAAGCCACTTCTCTCTAGATAAGCGAAAGGTGTTGGTGACATTTTCTCATTGCTCTTTTTCTTTCTACTCTGTCAGATCAGTATGCATTCTGTCGATATATGATTGACATGTTTGTCCATGGGGATGTGAAACCAGGTATTCCAAAACAATGTGTGTGCTTGTCTGTTTTAATAGTCTGCATCTATGATTGCT